GCACATGGATGGGGGAGCACATGGATGGGGGCACATGGATGGGGGAGCACATGGATGGGGGCACATGGATGGGGGAGCACATGGATGGGGCACATGGATGGGGGAGCACATGAATGGGGGAGCACATGGATGGGGGCACATGGATGGGGGAGCACATGGATGGGGGCACATGGATGGGGGAGCACATGGATGGGGCACATGGATGGGGCACATGGATGGGGGGTGTGGATCATAGGTTTCTAGTTTAGGGATCACAGACCAAGTAGCCCCTACATGCTGAGAACAGAGTAGGGCCTGTATATATCTTACACTCTGTAGGTTACAGTCTCTTTTCCTTTCTGAACCTCTAGTATCTTCACCCTAACTCTGTTTCTTGAAGAAGCTTTGCCCTTAGTGTCCCTCATCTTCTCTGTTGAGCTTGTCTGTCATCCCTGCTGCTCCCCCAGCCCCTCTCCCCCATTCTGTCCACTGTGTCCCATTCTGCAAACTAGAAACCAGAAAGGAGTAAGCCTTGAGACTGTCCATTCCTTCAGAACCAGGCTCAGAGAGAGAAGTGAGAGGGAAGGGATCAAGCAGAGGCGGTAAGGAGGGGATGGACTCCTCCTAAGAACGGTGGACAGTGGGTGTCCAGAGGGGTGCACCTGACCTAGCCTGGGGAGCCTAGAGATGATATTTACAAGTGGAAGGTTATTTATTCAGGCAAGGGTAAGAGTATGTTTGAAATTTCAGAAAGAACAAGGAGCCCTTGTTTGGTGACACTAAGTCAAAGTTCATGAGGATGTGAAGGCACCAGCTGGTGGGAGAGCTTTATTGTCAGAATAAGCAGCTTGTGTTTGGTCATAAAAGACTCATGGTAATGGTTCTAGACTTTTCTTTAGTCATAGAGAGACCTTTAAAAATCTGTCAACAGGCAGGTACAATAGCATAATCCTATAATACCAGCTACTTGGAGGCTGAGGCAGGAGAATCAAAAGATTGGACTAGGCTGAGCTATATAATGAGTTCAGAGCCAACTTGGGCAATTAGCAAAGCCGTGTACTGAAGTAAAATGAAAAGGACTTGGGGTATATTTGCCTAGCATACACTAGGCCATAGGCTTAAGCTCTACTACCAGAAGAAAAAGAAAAAACTGACCAAAATGATGAGCCAGTGATGGCACAGCACTCACCACTTGAGGGACAGAGGCCAGCACAGCTCTGTGAGTTCGAGGCCAGCCTGGTGTACACAGTAAGTTCCAAGGCTACATAGAGAAACCTTAACTTAAAAACAACAAACAAACAATGATGAGCCCTTTCTATAAAATTTTGTTACAAGGCCAGGCCATGTTAGTACATACCTTTATTGATCCTATGACCTGGGTGGCAGAGGCAAACAGATCTCTGAATTTGATGCTAGCATAGTCTACGTAGCAATTTCTAGGCTACCCAGGGCTACATAGCAAGACACTGGCTAAAATACACAGACACATTTTCCCCGCTGTGGACTCTAGCTTTTTTTTTTTTAAAGATTTATTTATTTATTATTTATGAATACACTGTAGCTGTCTTCAGACACACCAGAAGAGGGCATAAGATCTCATTACAGATGGTTGTGAGCCACCATGTGGTTGCTGGGATTTGAACTCAGGACCTCTGGAAGTGCAGTCAGTGCAGTGCTCTTAACCACTGAGCCATTTCTCCAGCCCCAGACTCTAGCTTTAAAAGCTCACATTGTAGAATTGTAGAGAACCACTGATGCGTTTGAGGCCGTGTCGTAAGGGATGAGACTAAAGGCAGGAGATAATGTAGGGATGCCTAGGGATCCCGTGTCAGTGGTCAGGCCAGAGCCTGGGCGAAGAGGACACGTGCAGCAGGTGAGCCTGGCAGGTGAGTCAGAGCAGGTGGGTAGGTAAGGAGCTGGGGTGGCGTTGAGGTCTCCTGCGCTAACTGAGTGGGAACATGAGTGAGCTTGTGTTAGCACAGCGGCCAGATCAGGGGCCCAGGCTGGACTCTGGGTAGCAAAAAAATAGGAATTGCCAGAAGAGGAAGTTGAAATGATTTAGGAGAGACTCAGGAGAAAAAAAAAAAGGAAAGGGGGAGCCTAGGCAAGACCTAGAATGTTCAGAGAAGGAAGAAAGAAACAGGGAAAAGAGGGCAGAGGCTCCTGGTCACATGACATAAGGGAAGACAGAGAGACATGGCCGTGGCTCTGACAGCATGCAGAGGACAGAGGCAGCGGAGATGGGTGATACTGGAGACTTAAGTCCTAGAGATCCCGATCTTGTAAGAACCTACCCACCCTTCACCTTGCCTCACCCTGCCCCCTTGACAAATGGCTTTGGAAAGATCCCTTACGCTTTCCTTACTGTTCAAGTCCAGGCTTAACTGTTTGCTCTAGTCCATGTGTTCTTTCCCTAGACACAGGGAACTGACCATCAGTGTCTGTCCCTCTGCAGGACCCCCGGAATTGTTTGATGCCTGGCTTTCCCAGTTCTGTCTGGAGGAGAAGAAGGGGGAGATCTCAGAGCTCCTTGTAGGCAGCCCCTCCATCCGAGCCCTCTACACCAAGATGGTGAGGGTCCCACTGGCAGGACCTCAGCTGGCTCGGAGCCTGAGGTGTTGGGAAGTGGGAAAGATGTATGTAATGCGAGAGCCTGTACAGCCCGATGGGCCTGTGCTGAGCCAAGAAGCTGCCAGAAAGAGGCTAATCTGTCAGCTTCTGGCAGACAGAGTGGTGAGAAATGGGGAGACCAGCAAATTGGTATGGGAGATCTGTTCTCTTCCTTGGCCATGCTTGGCCCAGACAGTGGTCTGGTTGGAGTTAGAGCAGGGTGGAAGGGCTCTGACAATCACTGTAAGCCATGTCCTATGTCTAGACTGCAAGAGTGGCTGGGAACAGACTGGTGAGGACTCCACACATCATTCCCAAATTTCCACCTCTATTTTCCCCTCCCTCCAGGTTCCAGCAGCTGTTTCCCATTCGGAATTCTGGCATCGGTACTTCTATAAAGTCCACCAACTTGAACAGGTATGCTGGGCTAACCCGGGAAGACTACCCTACTCCTCAGCCCTGGGGGAAGCAGGCTGGATTCTTGTCAAGACAAGAAAGAGTTGAAGACTGTAGTCATTTCTGGAAGTGCCAAGGGTTCTAGGATCCAGGACCTGAGAGGAGGGTTACCCTAACCCCCTGGTCATTACTCTCCCTCAGGAGCAAGCCCGGAGGGATGCCCTGAAGCAGCGGGCAGACCAGAGCATCTCTGAAGAGCCTGGCTGGGAAGAGGAAGAAGGTAAGAGGCAATGAAATGATATGGTGACAAACGTGTCTGTGGTACTCTAAGCCTGCAGAGACATAGCATCCCTGGGAAAAGCTGGAGTGAGACAGTGTACGAGCTAACCGTCAGAAATGACAAGCAGCCTGTCACACAGGGCTCCTGGGACCCAGAGTGTGGGTACAGAAATCACATGTGCCAGCCAGGACAGCTTGCCATGTAGCACATCAGCCTTCTGTAGTCCTGTGTGACATAGTTAGAGTCCTTTCGCCCAACACCCTTCCACATAAGACTGCAGGACTACAGTTCAAGGGCCTGGCACTCAAGAAGCAGATCTCTAGCAGTGCGAGGCCAGCCTGGTCTACATAGGGAGTTCTAGGTCAGCTAAGGTTACATAAAGAGACTATCTCAAAACAACATTAAAAAGAGAAAAGACAAGACTGTAGCTCAGGATGGGTTAAACATTTACACTGTATGTCCAGCTTCCTTTAAGAGCTTAATGTGTTGTTAGCCCTTAGCAGAAGCCATTGTCCTTCTCACTGAGGTAGCAGGTTGAGTAAGTGCTAGCTGCAAAGAGTCTGGCCCAGCCGGGCGGTGGTGGCGCACGCCTTTAATCCCAGCACTTGGGAGGCAGAGGCAGGCGAATTTCTGAGTTCGACGCCAGCCTGGTCTACAGAGTGAGTTCCAGGACAGCCAGGACTACATAGAGAAACCCTGTCTCGAAAAACCAAAAAAAAAAAAAAGAGTCTGGCCCAAACCCGGAGCAGACCCTCTTCCAGGCCTTGGCTTTCACATATCTTCTCCTGTCTCAGGCTGTGAGTCACAGTCCAGCTTGGCAGCTATATGCATGTGACTGACATGTATATACTGATGTCTCCCTGTGCTGGAGCACCCATGAGGGACACAGGCTAGCCTTCATCATGGTAAACATGGCAGGATGTGCATGTTTGAAAGCTGCCTTGGGCTGACTGAGGTTACACGTCCTCTTTCCCCAACCTGTCTTTGTACAGAGGAGCTTGAAGGCATTGTACCATCTCCAAAAGAGGCAAAGATTCCAAAAGAGACCAAAACTTCTACATCCCCTGAAGATGAGCCTGTCCCCCAGAGCCCTTGTGAAGAGATTCCAGTGGAGCCCCCCACAGAGGCCACCCCATCAGAGAGCAGTGAGAGTATCTCCCTCAGGACCCAGATTGCCAACCCTGCAGCTGCACCTGAGGCACCACAGCCACCTAAAGACCTGTCTCAAAAGCTGCTGGAGGCGTCTTTGGAAGAACAGAGTCTGGCTGAGGATGAGGGTGAAACTGGACCCCCACCCCCAGTTCCCTCCAAGCCTCTAACCCCTGCAGGCCGAGCCAGTGGCTTAGAACCCAGGCCTCCAGCCAGAGTAGAGACCCTGAGAGAGGAGGTGCCCACAGACTTAAGAGTGTTCGAGCTGAACTCAGATAGTGGGAAGTCTACACCCTCCAACAACGGCAAGAAAGGTAGGTCTAGAGGTCTGAGTGGGAGCAGATGTATGAGCCGGGCAAGCAAGAACTGCCACCGAGTGTGTAGATAGATGTGTGTCCTCCAAGCAGGTCCTGGGAGCAGATAGCCTTCATTGGTGGTCATGGGAGGGTAGCTGCATACATATTACCATATTTGTTAGCTAATATTTCCCTTGTCAGTGCATGAAGGATGATGCATTTGGCAATTTTGTTTGTTTGTTTGTTTGTTTGTTTTTTAAGATTTATTTACTTATTTTACCTATGAGTAGCTGTCTTCAGACACACCAGAAGAGGGCATCGGATCCCATTACAGATGGTTGTGAGCCACCATGTGGTTGCTGGGAATTGAACTCAAGACCTCTGGAAGAGCAGTCAGTGCTCTTAACCACTGAGCCATCTCTCCAGTGTTGGGGTCTTTTCGTTTGCCCTGGTTTCGGCTTTGTTGTTGTGGAGTGTTTTGGGGGTGTTTTGTTTTGTTTTTAATCTGTATACCATGTTTTTAATCTGTGTGTTCTCTGCATGCAGTATCCGGGAGTCCAGGAAAGCGAGTTAGATCTCTCCTGAGACTGAAGATACAGTGTCGGTACTATGAGTCAAGACTAGGTCCTCTGTAAGAGCAGCCAGTGTCATTAACTTCTCAGCCATGTCTCTAGCCTCTGGCTTTGGCTTTTTGAGACACGACATCACTATGTACCTCAGGCTGGCCTTAAACTGTAGCCTAGGCTTGGCCTTTTAACTCTTGGATCTTTTGCTTCCCAAGTGGTAAACTACATGAGTGAATCACCATTCCCAGCCCAGTAGGGTCTTAAAATCAGCAAAATGAAGTTTATGCTGGGCCTGTGCTAACTATCACATGGTTTTAATGTTCGCCTGTTTCACATGCCTCAGGTCCATATTCTCTTCATTTTACAGATGAGACAAATGACTAGAAGTGTTTAAAATTGCTGGGACTGAGCAGTGGGAGGCCTGGCTTCAGACTCAGCCTGTGCTGGCCTTGAGTCTGTGATCATGGTCTTACCTTACCTCAGTACACTTGGCCGTTTGTAGCCTTTTAAACAGTTCAGCTTTGCCCCTATTGGGGGTTCCTGTGGTGTGGGTGTTAGAGGTCTTCTACCTGTGGAGTCCTGGGGTAGTCAGCTTCTCTAAGCCTTTTATTCTCTAAGGGGTGGGTGAAGTTGATGCCCATGGGCCTGAGGTGAGCCAGTTCCAACCCCAGGGCTTTAGCTATACACTCCAGGAGTTAAAAGCAAGGGTAGATCTGTCATCTGTGTCTCCTAAGATCCTGCTGCAGATTGCCACCCTTTGACAGACATGGCACCGTAAAGTTTGCCCTGCAGGTGAGGCCTAGCCTGCAGCAAGATGACAGTTTGCTGCAGGAAATGGTAAACAGGGTTGCCACAGCCTCTGTCAGCTCTGACGTGCGCAAGCTCCTTGACGGAAACTTCCAGGTCTCCAGTGTGTAACACAGTGCTTCTGTTCTGCTTTATCAGTGAGGTCATCCACTGAGCTCCTCCTGCTCTTTATGAGACATGGAAGTGGGCGGGGCAGAGCGACAGGCTTTGTGATGGAACGGGAGCAGTAGGGACAGTCTGACTGTGGAGCCATTCAAAGGGGTGAGGGCTCTGAGCATCAGCAGGGTCACCAAGGAGACAGGTGGAGAGTTGGCACAGCTGCTGGGGCTCATGGCTGATTTGGGGGCAGGGGGCATGCTTAAGTGGTTATGACTGAAGCCCCCACCCCACCTTTCTCAAGTAAAGGAGACACAGAAGAGCAGGAAAGGTGGTTCTCTTTTTGTTTAATTGGTTTTGTTTTGTATTGTTTTGTTTTTGTTTTGAGACTGGGTCTCATTGTGTACTCCTAACTGGCCTGGAACTTGCTTTGTGGACCAGGCTGGTCTGGAATTTACAGAGACCCATCTGTTTCTTCCTCCTAAGTGCTAGGATTACCACACCCAGCCTGATTGGGGTGGTTTTGTTTGTGTTTGTTTAAGATTTATGTATATGAGTACCCTGTAGCTATCTTCAGACACACCAGAAGGCATTGGATCACATTACAGATGGTTTTGAGCCACCATGTGGTTGCTGGGAATTGAACTCAGGACCTCTGGAAGAGCAGACAGTGCTCTTAGCCACTGAGCCATCTCTCCAGCCTCTGAGTGGGTTCTTAAATAGCAGTTGAGAACTTGACATCTTGAGCTGGACTCAGAGGTTTAGACTTAGTGCTGAAAGCAGCAGAGCCAAAGGCTCGCTCACTCGTAAGCCATGTGACTGAGGAAAGTTACTACTCTGCTCCAAGCCCCTGCTTTCTCTTCTGCAAATGGAGATTGCTTTATGATAGCCCTCACTCAGGGGAGCAACTTTGGTAGAACCCTGCTTTGGGGAAATGAATGTTCTTTGTTGCTGTGATAAACACCATGATCAGAAGCAGCCTGGTGAGGGAGGCTTTGTTTTATACCTACACTTCCAAGTAACAGTCCATCTCTGAGGGAAGTGATTCGCACTTGAGGGCAGGAACCTGAAGGCAGGAGCTGATGCAGAGGCCATGGAGGATGCTGCTTAGTGGCTTACTTTCCATGGCTTGCACAGTGGATACTAGCACTATCTTAAGTGGGCTGGACCCTCCCACATCAATCAAGAAAACAGCCCCCAGAACAGCTGGGCTGAGAATGGCAGTTTCTTCATTGTAGTTCCCTCTTCCCAGATGACCCTGACCCTAGAAAATAAACCGTAACCAACATTGTGGTAATGATAGGTGATAGTCTCATATTTTCTGTATCTAGACCTGTGTTAAGCACTGGATATGCCTGTCATTAGTGACTCGCAAAGCCCTCGAAGATCTGTGCAGTTCCCTATTTTTCTACTGGTACAGATGTGGCCGGGCAGTGGTGGCACACACCTTTAATCCCAGCACTCGGGAGGCAGAGGCAGGCAGATCTCTGTGAGTCCCAGGACAGCCAGGGCTGTTCTCTGTTACACAGAAAAACCCTGTTGGGGTGGGGATAGGGGGACCTACAAAGGTAGAAAGGTAGCTTAGCAGTTAAGAACACTTGTTCTTCCAGAGGGCCTGAGTTCAGGTCCCAGTACCCACCCAGGCCTCAAAAACACCTGTAACTCCAGTTTCAGGAGATCTGATACTCTCTCTTCTGGACTTTGTGTTAGCTGCACTGTACTGACACACATACATAGACATAAAAATAATAAAATTGAAAAGCCCTTCAGCCTCCCAGAAGTAAGCAGGGAAATCACACTGAAGCCTGTGACACAGTCTGTAGGAAGGTGGAGGAGTGCTCAGTGGGTCTGACAGGGGTGGGGTGTGGTCATGGATTATAAGTGACCTACACCATCTCCGTTGTGCCTCCCCACCCTGCACTGTGGTCTGTTTGTTTTTGAGACAGGATCTTACTATGTACCCCAGACTGGCCTCAAATTCTCCCTTTCTTAAAGATTTATTTTAGTCTTTGTTTATATCTCTGTACATATGCTTGTGTGTGTTCAGATGTCCATGGAAGCCAGAGGATGGAATCAGATCCCTTGCAGCTGAAGTTACAGGTGTTTGTGAGCCACCTGATGTGGGTGCTGGGGTCTAACCTCGTTTCCTCTGTAGACCAGTAAACCTTCACAACCACCGAGCCCCCTCCCCAGCCCTGGCCTTGAACACGTGATCCTCTTGCCTCTGCCTCCTAAGTGATGGGATTGCAGCTGTCTGTACCAGGCCTGGCAACCCTGTACTTCTGTCCAGCCGTGATTCCTTGTTTCATCACAGGTACAGATTAGTTGAAAGTTGGGATTAATTGTATTTCAAGTTTAGCCAGGTAAAATAAGAAGAAAAACGTCCAAGTGTATGAAAGAAACAGAAGCCAGGCCTGCTGGTGCACTTCTGTAATCCTAGTGCAGGGAGGCAGCGTCGAGAGAAACAGGAGCTCAGTGTTGGCCCTGGCTGCATGAGACCTGGTAGGGTGGGGTGGGGTGGGGCGATCAGAACAGTCGTTTGTGAGAGCTTATCAGGCAGAGGGATGGAAGAATGGATGGGATTGATTCCTGGCACCCACGTGGTGGCTCACAACCATCCAGAACCCAATTCCAGAGATCTGACTTTGTTTTCTGACCTCTATGGGCATTAGGAATGCATGTAGTACACATACATGCATGCATACGTACACACATACATACAGGTAAAGGATTCATGCACATAAAGTGTATAGTTTGGTTTGTAGGGATGAAGACGTAGTTCAGCAGTTAAGAGCATAGACTACTCTTGCAGAGGACATGGTTCAGTTCCCAGTGCCCACATCTAAGGAGGACTGAGCCTGCCTGTAACTCTAGCTCCTGGGATCTGATATCCTCTGATCTAACTGTACTCAAGCACAGACTCACACGCAGGTACACATGGTTAACAATAAATGTTTAAGGCCAGGCAGAGTGGCACACGCCTTTAATGCCAGCACTTAGGAGGCAGAGGCAGGCAACTCTCTTGAGTTCCAAGCCAACCTGGTCTATAGAATAAGATCCAGGATGGCTACACAGTGAAAGCCTGTCTCCAAACAAACAAACAAGCAAAAGTAATAACTCTTTGAAAAAATAAAATTTGATTTCTGATACCCAAGGTTATCCTTGGTCTACATACATCTGTGTGCATGTGCACACACACAAAGAATTACAGTTCTGTTTGGAGTTGGACTGCAAGGCAGGTGATCAGATAGGGATTGGAGACTATACAGAACTGACCTATGACTGGTGCTCTTAACTACCCTGCTCTGTTACCTTCCACACACAGCCTGGAGGTAAGATACACCCCAAAACAAGTGAGGGGAAGCCAGTGTAACTCCAGACAGTAACTGGAAACAGGACAGGCAGAGGAAGTTTTCTCTCTGTGGTACTACAAACTGAACTCAGGACTTGCCAAATAGCTGAGGATAACCTTGAACTTCTGATCCTTCTTCCTTTCTACCTGCTTCCCAAATGTTGGGGTTACAGTTGTATGACACCTTGAGCACTTTA